GGCCTGAGACTTATGAATAGTCATAGCAAAGGCAAGTTTTACAGGAAATTGTCTACGTCTCAATTGAAACGGCAACCCTGTGCCACGGCTGGCTCCCGGGCTTAGCAAAGCACACCGTTGGATTCCGCAGGTCCGTGGCACGCCATTTTGACCATTTGCGTCTTGGGACATTAATTAGCTGATATGTTATTTAAAAACTAATTTTTCCTACGTTCTCCACTTTCTTCCTTGGGTTTTCCCTATTAGAGGGATTTGGCTACATGCCAAATTCTTTTTTCTCGAATATATACGGAACGGCGCCGAATTGAAATTCGAGACGCGTATCCTCGGATTCAAAAAATTCTCCTAATCCATCAATACCGTTGTCATCTTGGTACGACTTTAATCGGCCGAGATATTAATTAAAAAATTAAGCGCGTTAATTTCCGCGCTCATTTTTCCCAGGGGCAACAATAAACTATCGGCGACACACACTTTTGCCTTTTATATATATAAAGATATATATATATATATATATATATTAACTGGCAATGAAAATCTCCAGAAAAATTAGTACTTTACTCAACAAACGGTTACTTTAATCAAATCAGTAGAGAAGTTTTAGCAACATCCTGAAGCAGCAATTGTATAATGTAAATGGAAATTTTTTATCAAGGCAGAAAACTTATCATCTCTTCCACAAAATTAATTTTCATCTATTGTTACTAAAAATGTAAACACCTTTGAGAATTGCTTGTAAAATGCCCCAAAGGAGATTTACAGGGAAATTTTATTTTGTTTTAATGACCCAAATGTTCTTTTTGACATTTTCTCACAATATTTTAAGCGAACCTAAATTCAGCCTCTTTACGATAATCATGCTAATGTAATAAACACATTGAATAATTATTAAAAGTAGTCTAAAACTTATTTAATTCTGAAAATTATTTTTTGTTTTTAAACTTCTAATTTATCTTTTAATCAAAACTTTAAAAAAAATAGCATCAGTTAAGAATCTGGACTTAATTCTAACTGCAGTTCTGAAGCCACATGACAGAAGCAGTAGATTTCATATTGCATCATTAATAAAAAATTTTTGAAGGACCAAAACTTGTGTCATATATGTACAATCAGATTCACTTGACTTTATGTCAACTAATTCTAGTGAAACAGAAACTTAATTAAAGTGCGTTTTGCATAAAGAAGTCAAGGTTAATAAGATTAAAGTTAGCACTAAATTTTAATACTAGTGTTAACTAAACTCACAATTAATTTTCTGCAAGTAAACAAAGTCTACATTTTAAATTCCGGAAAATACATATATCCCAATTATACGCATAAGCGTAAGCTTGAAATTTAACAAAATTTGATTAAAAAAAGAGATTTTTTTATATCTGTATTATTTACCTCTGCCGTTAAATAATGCAGAATTTATGTATGTGTGCATGTCTGTATGTTATGTATATTAAAACCTCCCTAGCAATTGTGGATAAACGGCTACCACAAGAGTCATGGAATTTCGAATACACATAGCATTCCACCAGAGTATATGCACAATGAAACCGAAATTTTCAAGTCTGTTCCTTATTTATTTCATTTTTGTATGAATTTAATGACTTTTTTATTAATAAATTCAGCAATTTCAAAGCGAGCAGTGGCAAGAGAGTTCGAAATACAATACTTTTGTCTTCAGTGCGCCAGTCTGGCTGCCATTCCGGAAGACATAAGATAGTTAAATTTTAGTTCTAATCAACGAACTCGGCTATTTAAAAGAGATGTGTTCTCACCGCTTGAAATAAGATATTTTTATCTTCTGCGCTCCAGCATGCTGCCAGTCATTCAAAGGAAACTTTCATTAATCTGTCTGTTACTGAGTAACAAACTAAGCGATGTTAAGACATAAACAAAATTCTTAGGAATACACTTTTCTATTTTTAAAATTTGATTGATTTAAATAAAAATATGTTTAAAACTGGACTCACTGAAGTAATTTATTTTTTCACATCGAGTATAAAACGTTCCAAAATATAAGTATAGAAAACGAGAGAGCGCATTTAAAAATCGATTTCGCTGTTTGTTAAAAATGAGTTTTTTTTTGGGGGGGGTGACATTGCCAAAATATGAATATTTTCGTCATTTAAAACACTTTTATTACTGGAAGTATATTACTCCGAGCAATGGCTGCGAAATTAAATGTCGCGCAAGGACTTTTAAGCCGGGTAAGGGTATGTGTACGCTTGTGTGTGTGTGTGTATATAATGTGGTGACAATGTTGAACGCCAAATGGCCCCGAGCTGCTCATCGAATAATTCGCTCTGTTTCGCTTGGCGGTTGTCGCCACCATATCTCAGTCGTTAGAGCACTGGTCTTGTAAACCAGAGGTCGTGAGTTCGATTCTCACTGGTGGCTCTGTAATGGAAGTGCTAGTTCTAATTTTAGCTGATAATTTTCTAAGTCAGAAATCGGAAAGATGCGACACTGAAAAATATTTCACCATCTGCTATCCTGTCCTTTGGACTTCAGCGCCTGTAGTTGCACTCATCTGATGACCGCCGGCAGACGAACTAATATTGTAACATTGGGGGCGGAGGAACTGAATTTATTCTTTATTATTAATTTCGAAAATGCGTATATATTTTAATGTAATTAAGCGTGTCCTATAAAGAACTCTGCAGATGTTTCTATCACCCACATATATATGTTTATACGTATAAGTATATATATAATTATGACATATATATATATATATCGTATCGTACGTTCAAACGTCACGAAAAAAAATCCCTTTTGAATCCATTTTACAATCCGCTTTGGAAAAAAGATCTCTTTTTTCTGTCTGTACGTGCAGACGTCAAGCAAAAGAAATCATCCAAGTGGATTCGGGAATGGTCAAAATTTATATTTCTAATGGAAATATGATACCTGAATTTTTTTGCGATTATAATTCTTTATTTCGTACAAGGAAGTCAAAATTTTTATGAAGTTTTTCTAATTCATCAAAGTAAAATTTGATGAATAGCTTTTTAAAAGGAAGCCATTTATTGATGAATTTCCTGATATAATATCAGGTATAAAAACTTCTATCAACGATATTGATTGATGGATTAGATGGGATCCAAAATTAATTAGTTAAGACTTTTGAATATTAACTATGAGTTTTTTTTATCTTATGTTATGCTGATAGGGGAAAACTGCTTTATAAATGTGTTAGTTTATAAGAGCTGTTGTTATGGACCTACTTTTGTACTACACTTGATTAGCAAAATTATAGACTGTGATTTTTATATTTTTTGAATCGCTTTGCGTTCCTTTTAAATATAAATAAATATCTTATCTGGTAACCGTAGAACTATATTCTGATTTACTCTCTCTAATGCATTGCGAAAACATATGCATCGCGGAAACAACAAAAATAAGCGTAGCTTCCTAATTAAAATAATCTTGGTTAATACATATATTTAACCTTATAAACACTATCTTTTATGTTTCCGTCTCACTGTAATATTCAGATTTTTTTTACTTGTAAAGGAAGTATTGTAAACGTGAAAACATTCGAGTACCATATTTCTAGTTAAGTGTCCATTTTGACCATTCCCGAATTTATTTGTACGATTTTTTTTTGCGTTAAGTCTCTATGTACGCACAAAGTAATAGACACTTTTTTCCAAAACGGATTGTAAAATGGATTTAAAATCGATTGACCATTGATTTTTTTCGTGACGTCTGTACGTACGTTTATATATATCTCGTATAACTCAAAAATGATTAGACTTACAATGCTGAAGTTTTGTATAATGGGACTGTTATAACATCTAGTTGTGCACCTACCCTTCTTATTGCTATCGCAGTAGCAAATAGTCATACACTTCTAATTACAGATATGTTTTAAATGACGAAAATATTCCTGTTTTGGCAAAGTCAAATTTAAAAAAAAAAATTCGAAAATTAAGGTAATTTAGCATTTAATGCGGTCTTATGACTCCTATACTTATATTTAAGAAAATACTATACTCATATTAAAAAAATAAAATTATAAAAAGTTTAACAATCCGAAGGTAGAGAATAAGAAGGGAGAAAATATTTCGCACGTTTTAGAAAAATTAAATTATCACAAAAGACAATTAAGAGCTTTCTTTTTTAATCTTTTAAACTTTTTTGATTTGTATGCGAAATAACCTAAATGTTATGTTTACGTTAAAAAATTACAAAATTAGATTTAGAAAAATTATAAGTATCTAAATGAAGTTAAAAATCCTGCATTTTCATAACTTTGATCTTTTCAAAAAATTGCAAAGATAAATAAATATCTGTGCGTACAGATTTCGTTAGATTAGGCGCACACACTTTTATTATTCGTGATATATAATGTCACATGAATTTTTCAAAGAGAATTGTTTAATCTCTTATTTCCATTAAACTATGTGATAAATTGTTTTCCTCACTTTTATTTCATTAATTATGAGCTTTAAATAAAGCTTAATTTGTAAAAACATTAAAAACCTTTTATTATTTTCAATTTTTTACGCTCAGTGACACGCTTTCAGACAAATTATTTTAGTTCCAAGATTTCTTTACGTCAAATATTCAAACAAATTGAAAGCCTTTGGAAAATTCGCCAGAAAATCAGAAATGAATACAAAGTTTCAAATAAACCTCATTGAGAAGATAGACTTTTTTCTCTTTATCCGATGGTGTGAACAACAAAATTTTGAGAGTTTTAGTTTGTTTCGAAACCTAATATATCTTCAAATATATTTAACTATTTTGAAGATATATTCTAATATCTTCAAAAATAATTTCAACATTAAATCTTAAACAATCTAAATGGAATTTTTTTAAAAATCGCTTCCTTCTCATAGTTATATTATCCGGAGTACGTTTGTGTGCAAAATTTCAGTTTGCTAATTTACCCGAAAATAGTATAAAATTCGGTGCCATAGTGAGAAATACATTGAACGATTTAAATGATAGCCTATAAAAACTTTTTAATTAATCTAATTAAAAAAATTTTAGAAAGTTACCTAATTAATATATTTATCATTCTTGTTTGTTGTTGTCTAGTCCACGTAATTCATGGAAGAATGGTTGCCAGAGCCTCAAGGAAGTTTGACTTCTACTTCCAGTTTTGAAGGAGGGCACCCTGGGGGGGGCATCATTCTTGTTTTAGTAGAGGGTAGAGAGTTGTTTTTTCATAATCTGAAAAATTTTAAAGCTTTATAATAGACCTTTTGGACGGTAGAATTATAAAATCTTATAACAGAATATAATATTTTGAATCCCAATGGAATTAAAAAAATCTACTTTTAAAAAGAAATGCTGAAAATGTGTACATAATGAGGAAAAAATAACACAGTATATTTCATTGCAAATAATATTAAAAGCCCTTCAATCTTTAAACTGTATTACTTTTTTAGCTTAATATTAAGTTTAATTCTTTGCAAGTAAATCTTTATAGCAACTGGGGGATTTAATAATAAATTTGAAAAATCAATTTTTGAGAAATCTATGCAGAAGCAGGGAAAGAAGTGTACGGTAATGACGTCATAAACTTGAATTTATATTTCCAAGTGGTAGCCAAGAAAGAACTAATACTTCCCCTTCTATTTCATGCTGCAAGTTGCTTTTAACACAATGTAGAAAATCACTTAGTTTATATCTTTTATCTGCCGCCCAGAAGGTACAGTGGTTATGGTAGCTTACCGTCATGGTATGCGGTACTGAAGGGCCCAGGTTAGACTCCCTCTAAGAAGGCATGAATGTTTGTAAATGTATAGTGTCCGCGTGGCATGGGGGGACTCTAAATATGCAGGGATCCAGAAGTCTTCTCGAGAGGTTGGTGGTAAGGGAAGAATGGTGGGGGACCCTGGGAAATGTCCCCCTGGTGAAAGGAAAAGTCGTACTGTCACTTGTGTGGTTCTCAAGGCTCTTGCCAACAGGCACGATCTTGCTCTCCTTGTCACAACGAATTGCGTGGTCTTGTCCTGATGTTACTGTCAGAAAAGTGAGATAAGTCACAACACAACAACATATCTTTCGTCGTTTTTATTCTAGATGAAAGGAAAAATTTGCTTTATAAATGAAATTTTTCACAATAATAATAATTTTTCAAAACTTTATAGAAGATATATTTTTAGATGCTGAACTTTTAAAAAAGTAGACATGGAATAGTCGAAAACAAAATCGAGTAATGTTCGAAAATTCGCCAAAAAGATCAGAAATTACGGTACAAATTTTATATAAATTTCATACAAAAGATTTTTTTCACCTTATGATGCAAACAGTAAAATTATGAGATTTTTAGTTTATTCGTTAAAATGAAGATATATTCGAAGAATCGTTTCAGTATTAAATTGAAAAAAAATCTAAGTCGAATTTTGAAAAAAGAAATGGCTTCATCACATAATATATCATCCATAAAGATTGTGTGCAGTACTGGAGCTTATCAGGAAGTAGTTCGAAAATCGATGCCAATTTCTTCACCACGGCAAGAAACACCATAAATGAAATCAATAAAAGCTGATAAAAATAAGCAAGCAGTCTTGGGTCATCAACGGGTAAATAAATCCAACAGGAAATCTATGAAAAGTAGCAAATTTTAAGATAGCTGATTCTTGAATATATACCTAAATTAACGTAAAATCACAATATGCCAAATTCTTTCTGTATTTTCTTTTCATTGACGAAAGGAATAATTTTCAATACCTAACAGTATTCCTTCTGTAAATGCCATTCCTTTCTTTTGAAGGTTTGACCCCTTTTCTTTGCCGATAATGTCCTTGCACTTCTGACGGACTGTCTCATCTTTATGTGCCCAGTGCAATCGATTGGCAAAAAGTTCGCATTTTCCCTAACAGATGTTGCTTCTTCTGAATTTTTTATGCCTTTTCCATTTCCTTTTCTTTGAGCATAAGAAAGAAAGTTCCACGTGACAAGATTCTGTAAATGCACTGAAACGTGAACGGAATCACAGCTGAAATATTCGCCCTTTAGACATTAATTTCGTAGAGGCTATTTTTTCTAAAATTCTTTCTTAAAATGTGTCAAAGATTATAATCGATACGCGTATCGGTAATGCCTCCAGTTTGTGATTCTTTATCACTGTGTATTGTATTTTACTGGTGTATGGTCCAAAACATCTTTAATTCTGCAGTGAAATTTCGGGAATTTATATTATAGATCACTTGTTTTTAAGAATTTTTTGCAGTCCATACTTGCTAAATTTCTTTATATTTGAAATTTTTTCAATGGTATGTAATTTTGTAGCAAATATTAAAATCCTTAATCCTCCACGAGTTTAGGGCTTGGCCCATAAACTCTACAGTTCCGCCAAGTGCTAGGACTATGAGACATTTTCTTGATTTTAATGACTCTCTCACTTTATACCTTGGCTCCTTTTCTTCTAATGAGCACAAAATTCGAAATCAAATCCATCAGAAGGTGATAAAATATTCCTTATATAGAGAATTGGAAACTATCCTTCTAGGAGGATATTTACGTTATTATCATAAAAATCTCGAAACCCATCATAAATATGATTGAAGAATGAAGCCTTTTTAAAAGGAGAAATCAATTTTTCAGTCTGTTCTATTCATGCAATAACATAATTTTAATTTCGTTATGTTTCTTTCTATCTGAAAAACAGATTTGACAGTTACATGATCTATGCATTCCTTGGTTACAACTCAGCTTCATAGTCCAAGGTTTTGGATATCAGTCGATTTAACACTCGCCATTTTTAACCTTCACATAAATAATGTTCAGGGGGTTATAAAACAACATTTCCCATTTAAAGGCATCTGCAGCTGAAACTAATGAATGGAGTATAACAAAATTTCATATAGACTGTGAAAGGTATAGGGAGATACATTTTGGGGCACAAAATAGAACCAAAATGGTATGGAATATTTTGGTCTCTGTAGGAATCGACATAGGTAATTGATTACAATAACCGCACGGAAAATAGATTACATAAATTTTCATTAATGGTTCAGCAATAAAAAATGCACATGATATGAAGAATGAAATTCACAGAAAATAAATTCTTATTAATGAATATTAGTGTCTTATAGACCACGTGCAACATTTTCAACGTGCTGACCTTCCCTGTGTGCAAGATACTGTGCCTGCTGTGCGATTTTCTCTACTGCTTTATGTAAACTGTCAGTCTGAATGTTTGTAATAGCCCATTTTATGTTCTGTTTAAAGGATCTCAGGTTTGTAACACCACTAGTACACACAATGAATTTAAGATACCCACTTACAGCCAAAAGTGACATGGGGTAATGTCTAGAGAATGATGCAGTTATTCCGTCAGAAAATATCGGCTTATACCTGTCTCTTTACCGAAAAGCTGGAAGAATATGTGGCCGTGCATATGTGGCATTGTATAAAAATTGTAAAATTCAAGCACTGTCGTTTTTTCAATTCAGGAACGATAAAAGTTTGCAGTATTTCTCCCCATTAATGGTACAAGTAACAGGAACTGTGGGAATGATACGCTCAAAGATATATGTCCTGTTATGAATTTGGCCGTGAATCCACACCACATGATTACTTTTGCAGAATGGATGACTTGATGGATCAGTGTAACACTTTTGCACTTGATGGATCAGTGTAGGCCGTTCAGATGTCCAAATTCATTTATGAGTATTGACTGAACCATTGAGTTAAAAATTAGCCGCATCTCCCCGCAATATTTTCCCCAAGACCAAGAATTGTCGATTTCCTTTTGGGCAAGAAACGTTAACGCGACAGGCGCTTATCATAATTTGCCGTTTTTAATTCTTGCCCACGACTGATCGCATACGAAGAGGAATGCAGCATTTTCCGTACTATTTTCTTGATAGGAATATAAGGCTCGATTTGGCGAGCTATTGCAAAAATGCTTGGAGCACTGCTAGTCCCTATGGCGCTCAAAACTGCAGTGTTATTGTGTTACATCCTCTGCCGGCTGTAACTTCTAGCGACGTAGTTTCTTCGAATTTTTTAATCATACACGTTGGTGCTGCAACAGACATTGGACTTTTGTGAATGTAGGACGCATATTAAGCACACATCAATAGTCAATCAAAATCTAACGTCTGCCTCTGTTGATCCAACGTCTGCCTCTCTTTTCTCAAAAAGAATGAGTGATGCTGCTGTCACATACGACTAGGAAATTTGCATAATCTACCTAGATTGTGCAAATTTCATATGCACTGTGACAGCTCAACCTAAATCTCTCCTATCGGCGACTTTTATAACAGCCCTTCTTATGTTTTGCACTTTTTTCTGGATTAGTTTTTCTCCGAGATTTTTACAATTTATGCAGGGTTTGTCCCGGAAGTAGTAGAACTGATTTTTTCCAGTCAAAGCGTGGTGAAGGAGGAGGTTGTTACTACGCTCTTTGGGTTGTGGAGGATCTTAAGTACCAGCGCACCAGTCGCCAGTCGTCACCAAGCCTTCATGGAGTGTAGACTGAGTTTAAGGTGCCCCTTTCAAGGTGCCTTATCATCTCCACAGTGAATCTTTTATTAGAGCAGCATTACGCGGTGAAGTTTGGCGTCAAACTGGGTAAACTGCCTATGAGACACATGACATGATCAAAAATGCTTATGGGGGTGATGCCATGGCTCAATCAAATGTTTCTGAATGGCACAAATTGTTTCGGGAGGGAAGAGCGCAAGTTGAAGATGGAATTGATGTTGATCATCTTTTCTGACTGAAAGGAGTGTTTCACAGAGAATTTTCACCGTCTGTTCAGCCTGTGAATGCTGCATTCTATGTTGTGTAAGTAAAGACTCAGAAAAGTAGTCGCCCGCGTCCGTCCAGCAACCGCTAGATCATGAAGGTTCCATCACATCAATGCGCCGAGCCATACTGCCTTTGCTGTCATGGACTTCCTAACCAAACATGGTATTACACAGCTTCCCCAGCCAACCTACAACCCAGATATCGCTCTTTCAGAATTCTTCCGATTAAAGAAGGTCATGAAAGGATGGCACCACGGTTCGTTCTGTCCAGGCCAGGCCGTAATGAAGGAGCTGAAGATTGGATTGGATTATTCAATTATGGCAAAGCACACGAGGGGAAGGAGCTGAAGAATATTCCAATTTCTGCATTTCATCGAGCCTTCAGTTATTGGCAGAGTCGCTGGAAATGTTGTGTTGATGCAGAAGGAGCATATTTTGAAAATTATTAAGTCGATGTGTCAAAATTGTGAATAAATATTTCAAAATAAATTCAGTTCTACTACTTTACGGACAAATTCTGTATATTAAATTTGATTTCTTTCCGTTCATTAGTTTTAAATACCTTCAAAGAGCAAAAGTTATTTATAACTATCCTATATTTCGGATGGGATTAACACTATCTAATTATTTTCAAACTTAAATTCAAATTCAAACTTTTAAGTTTAACAAAGATATGTGTATGACGTCCAATCAAATCCTTTTATTATCCCTTTTTATGATTTGCTTGCGTTAGCTTATTTGCATATTTGATTGGTAAATACCCACTCATGAAGTATGCTTTTTATATTCAGTAACAGGAGCAATCGTAAATAATTACATTCAGTATATTCAAACATTATTATTCAGTAGACGATTAATATTTTTATAGTTTAGCTTCCCATTTATAATTTACCATGAGATGTCATTGATAAAAATAGCAATAAAAATGAAAGGTTTAGGTTTAGCGACTCAGAAAGTCATGAATAGGATGTAAACTTTAGGAAGGTTTCAGAAAGGCTACATAGAAAGTATACTCTTTGTGATACAAACGTACAGTTACTTACCATAGTGCATTAAAATTCCATCTCTTTATTTTTCCTCACGTATGATTTCACACAACATATCTACTACAATAAAACGATAAGAAAAACAAAAATTCTTTCCTGAAAAACACGTAAACATAATACGTGAAAAAGAAAAAGAAATTAAATTTCTCAATGAACTAAATTTTAGAAAATGCATTTAGAATACAGTAGTAAATTCAAGGAATGCACGTTACATTAATAAGTGACGCAGTCCAATCATATAAATGTGAGAATAAGTTACTTTCAGTAGTGGTGCTCTTTATGGTTCTTTTCTTGATAAATATTCTTGTCTCTCCCAGACAACATATAACTATCATTTTTCGTTTTTTGGAGAAATAACCTTGACAAAGGAATACTTGTTCTTCATTCCTGAAAAAGAAAATGAAATGGCCATGAATTTTCTCAGCTAAATGAAGCGGTAGTATAATGATTGTATGAAATAAATCGAAAGAAGAATACAAAAATATGTGACCTCTTTGATGTCGCTATTTTTTTCCAGTAGCGTAGTTAGAGCTTTTTGATTCCCCTCTCCGTGCATACCAAAATTATATAAAATGTTCAAACGACATTAAAAAAATGGCTTTCAGATTTTATATTAAGCCCCAAAAGTGTTTCCTTTATTTATTAAATATCATATTCTTCAAACTTAAACCACATAAAATTCAATTCAATAGCAATATTTCATACTTAAAAACAGCATAATTTTAGCGTCTCGAACGCTGGGGATATAAAATCTTTATTTCGTGCAGTGTTGCCATTGCTCGCTTTGAAATCGTTGAGTTCTTGAAATCTATTTTCGTGTTAACATCAACAAATAGAAAGGTGCGTAATGCGCTTTTTTTTAGAAAAAGCGATGTTTTTGTCACTTAAATTACAGAAGAATTATTTAAGAAGTCTTTTTCTGTGGAAAGTTTCTTTTTAACTGAAAATTTTTAATGCTAATTAATTTGAAAATACCCATTCCAAGAGAGTTTCATAGGTTAACCCTCGCGGCATCGGTGGTTTAGTGGTAGAATGCTCGTCTCCCAAGCGGGCGGCCCGGGTTCGATTCCCGGCCGATGCACGAGTCCGTTTTAGATAGTTTTACCCCTATCTAATTGTAACTCAACTAGATATTGATTTCAGCAAATGAACTGGGGAAAAAATAAAGAAATTGTTAAAAAATCGGAAAGGATTCAGATTTAACATCACACAGAGCGTTCTTTTATACTCTTGCTGAGTTCGTAGTCTAACAGTCTGTTCTCGAATTCATTGCTGTTAACTAGATTTTTTTAAAAAAATTAAAGTTTATAGTAGAGTGGAAAAATAATAGTTATATTCGCTCATGCATAACTCAATGGACGTTGCGGCATTCTTTTACATTTTTCATAGTCCTTTCCCATCAGTTTACCATATCAGTGTTTAGTTTTCTTAATAAGATGGCCTACACAACTTTTTTTTTTTTTTTTGTCTCTTTAAGGTTTTATTTGTTAAGCATTAATTTTTTCACACTTAGCCATATATCATTCAACAGCAAAATCTTAAAAGCAGTGTAGTTTTAGAATTCTAGATAGAGTATTAAGTTTTCCCCTTTTTTATATCCGCTGTATTATTTCTTTATAAAGGATGCATGGCGATACTACTTGGTGGAAGCATCTCTATTTAAAAAAGTGAAACGGGCATGAAAGCTAAATGATGCAAAAGAGAGCATCGAGACCTGTAGCCGCTCTGGTAACTAGCAAGATTTCCTTTTTTCCCAAGGTTTTCGTGAATTAATCAGCAGATTCATTAACGATATAAGAATAGTTTTACTTTAGAAAATTAATATAGATGTAAAGGTACTTTTGCGTTATCGCAATCACCTTGCCGCAATTTGGCGAAGAAGAAAAAGATCGGTAATTTCTAATCGAAAAAAGTTATTTATTTCATACCATACATGTTATTAAGCGCATATTTTAATTTTAGCTCGATATTTGTCACGGGGAACAATTTATAAAACTACTTTCACATGAACTTTACTTTCTTCTTTGTTATGCCTATCTCCCGCTTCTAATTATTCCAGTCTACCACGGCGAATGGCCATTTCTAACTCTTCCGAGAAAACATTAGAACTCGTTAACTATTTGCTCCAGCAGTACATGAATCCGATTGCTGTAGTAAATGGCAGACGACTCTTCTCGAACCAATTACCCTATCGAATATCGACGTGTTCATTACACGTTTTCATGTTGCATTTCCGAAAAGGTTGTTTTTCCAAAATAAATTATCATTAAATGCGAATCTGAATATTCCCGCCTTTGTGACAAAAAATTTCATACAACTTTCTTCGTTTGGAGGCAAATTCCACAAGTACATATTTCGTAAAAGACAAAAAATATCGCAATTTGTCCTTAGAGCTTCTAATACAACCAAATCAGCATGTATGAAAATGGCGACGTTTCATATTCAAACTTACAGTTATCCATATGGTTACTTGAAGAATTGTTATGCGTGTGGTTGCCACAGTTTGACGACTTTTATCAAGATGGTTGCTATAATACCCGAAGTACCGATGTAAAAGTGCTGGCTTAAATCTATCTTCTAATGTTCCACAAAATAGTATATCCCGAGATGTGCGCAAGCGGATTGCAGCACTAACCTAATCTATGTGTGTGTGTCTTTCGTTCATCCTTTTGCGCGTAAGGCTAATAGACTCAGGGCTACGAAATTTGATATATAGGTGCATCTAGACAAGAGCCAGTGCACCTCGAAGTGGTTCCAAAAGTCGAATGAGATTAATTTTTATTTTATGTTTTTGATGAACACATCAAATCTATAATTCTCTTTCATTATATCAGCATTGTTGCCACTCGGAAAAATGAGGGCGATAATTCGTGCAGTTTTTTAATTTAGTGTTTCTCTTGGTTACTAAATGTTTGTCGAGAGAAGGCAACAGGACGTTGATTAATTTATATATTAGGATAATTAATATTTGTATTAAGGCATATTGCTTATTTCATTGAAATTTTTTTATATGTAATACATTTTGATTTAAATTTTTTTTGATAAAGTTGTTCTTTAGAGTAAAATTGTGTAAAGTTTTAAAATTTAATGTTTGGTGTTCCCTTTAGGCAATTTTCCGGTACATTTAAAAGCCAGACGAAGGCTGACTGCGTAGCGGCTAGTAAATAAATAAAGAATACGTTCAAGAAAAATGTTAAAAAAAACATGCATCTTCATCGTCGATATTGCAGCTGTACAACGACTTAGACTAAACTTTCAAATTCAAAAACTTACATAAACCCTAGAATGTGACCTATCAATGAAGGGTTTATGTTTAAAGAATTAACGCAAACGTGTTATTCTTTTTCATATAAAATAAAATCTAGAGAAGAACGCTTTTGTAGCGGTCCTTCTGTGGACACTTTTAGCAGTAATCTATAAATTAAATAAGAAAACTTTATATAAATGTAACTTCGGAACTTTCCCATAACTAATGTTAAGTATCTTACTAGATCTAAAGAAAAGTACTGAAGAAACTCCCTGTATAATTTCTACTGCAATGATATACTGAAGGCAATGCAATTTTTGATATAAATATATTCAGCATGAACGTCAAGATAAAAACCATAAAGCCAAAGAAACGCCCAGCCCAGTGCTTTATTATTGCCATATATGTGACATATCCTTGTGCCATATATGTGCCATAATGTACCCAAGATCTCATTCACGATAATATTTAATTTGTTTTGCTTTGCAGTCCATTTTTCCTCTGTGGCTCACTTAGAATTAAAGTATAACACTCACACCAGAGTGTTTAAGTATGCAGGACACTGGACAATTCCCCTGCTTTTCTGCTAATTAATTCATTTTAGAAAGAGCTAACAAATACACTTCAAGATTAAAGAATTATCAGGTTCAATGTTTCTTCTAACCTTCTTCGGAAACATACAATGACCTGACTAGAACAGAGAGCTTACTAAAGCTATGTTCACTAATTGTAGTAAGTAGACAGGATACAGACGAAGGGTATACAAAACCCTTTATTTTTTTTCTTTATATACAATGACTTCCGTACTTCGGAATACAATGACCCTCCACTCGGGGTCTAACTTAAAAGATATCAAAATAAAACTAAACTCTAATTTAACTTTAGAATAAGATTGGCCTTATAATAACAGGAAGCGTATGTAGCACAGAGACTGTGAACACTACAATACGTTTAATTTATCAAGAGGATTAAAACCTCTGGCCTGGAAGGCAAAGTAGCAACTGCGTAACTTCTAAGGTAAGCGGCCTGCTTCGAACTCACGGCTTCCTCTCTTCTGCTTGGCAAAAAGGCCACACTTAAATACTTGGCGTTCGCCAGACAACTTTGCATAAAACTCCTTCACGCTTATAATTCTGGCCGGAAGTAGAAAATAAGAAGTGATAGTAAAGATTTAAAATAAAATAAACGTTAGTAAAACTTAAGATCCTTACATACTTCCCGCCAGAGTTAATTAGTTTGAAACTGAGGTCTAAAACGACCTTGTTGAAAACTTTTAGCTCTAGAAATCTAACGCGAGGCCAACCTTTTACAAACATAACTTAGCTAGAAACTAGAAAATTTAAAAGAAAGAAATTTGTTACAATAGCAGCTCCCGGAATATACAACAATCTTTTTTTTTTCATCTGTACTGCATCTAAACAGGAGCTTTTATTCAATTCTGGTTCCTTCCAGAGATCTGGAAGGAAAACTAGTTTAATGAAATGTTACAGAATGACATTGCAAATAACATATAGAATATACTTTCTCTTAACATTCTTATTTCATTCATGACTATTTTAATTATCTCTCCCCGTGCTCTCTGACATGTGTTGTAAAAAACACCAAACACGAATGTGTTTCTGTCTACGTGTGTTCAACACTTCCTCCTACAATCAAAACACTAACGTGTTAAAATTCAACATACGAGACCTCTTAACACACCCTAATTTCAACTCTAAGACCCTGAGGTACTATTCTGAAAGTGGCTAACTCTAAAGTGTAGCGTCAGAGAGCCTAACTACATCATTCAACCTTTAACACATATTCACCATGATTTAATCTTTACAGTCACACGAATAACAAATTTTTTAACATTACTTTCACTTTTACCATATCACGGTTATTTCTAAACATTCAAAATAACAGTTCACATGTATACAAGAACATATCAAGATGCCGTTAATTTTACACATTTGAAAACATACATTAGTAGTACATTGTTAACTTCTATTCTTTTCAAAGCAAGTGCCAATTCTTTCTACATTGAAATAATACTACATTTCAAAAAGTCTTTCAGACTAAAACTTCTTTCTTGTTAGAATGTTTTAAATAAAATTTATACAATAACTTTTTACAATATTTAAGTCTTTATAC